AGAGGACTACTCATCCATCCATCAACAAGGCTGGAATTTAAATAGAACAACAGAGATCACTCAACGTAGAGATGTAATTAATAACAATGGCTGGGTTCTCAGGAGATGAGCCGTTAGAAATGCTTTTCTAAATGTATAATCTTCTGAAATGATCAGGACCAGAAGGCAGCTGCTGAATTATCAGCTAGTAATGGTAGATAATACAAACTTCAATCCTGCATGTAAACTTGATTTTTGGAGCTGCGAGCAAACTTTAAGGTGTTAAAGCATGATATTGTTTATTTTATGCATTGGAGAAGAAAAACTTTAGCTTGTTAAATCAAACCAATCAAATCAAAGAAACTTTATTAATCCCAGAGGGAAATTAGAGTTTCAATACACACAATTCAGAGATCAGACATACATGGGCAAGACACATGACAAGAATTGGTGACTGTGGTCATTCGCAACCCTGAGTCGCGCTACCTTAATAGAGATCAGAGGGTTACACGAGGATTGGTTCAGGTGGAGGAAAAAAAGGCACTTCAGAGTTACCCTCCACAGGGAGGGCAGCTTTGCTCTGCAAAAAAACACCTCAGACAGAGACATGCAACAGACTTCAGACAACACAACATACGTGTCCACTAGGAGGGGTGGTGGGTTGGGACTATCCCAACTTCAGTTCCTGCAGCCACGATAAGCAGCGCATGTCACCTCAGTGTGGATGGGGAGGAGCATTGAGGGTTGGAGGGTTGCAGTGACCCTGGACGCTTTGGCAGCCTTCCCGCTGTCCCGCCCAGGCTGGGAAAGGAGGCAGAGTTGAGGGGGGAGTTTTCGTTGGAGCCTTGCAGGCTCAAGGGCGCCAGATTCCGATTAGATTAAAGTAACTGTAAATAGCATTTTTCTCCTCCCTATTACTGGTTGAAAGTAAAAACCCTGCCACAGTCTGCTGTAGCTAGTGCTAACAAAAAACTAACGCTAACACAAGCCAGCTGATAAAAAAATAAGCCACGAAGGAAAGAGATCCACATTGTCGGACAAAAAATATTATTGCTTACAAATCCAGTAGCAACAAAGCCAGGTCCCCATCAGTCCGGGATTCCGTAGCCTCCTTCAGCTTCTTCAGGTGAGTGTGGGCCACACCAGTGTTCACTCTAGTTTAAGCTCTTTACTTTGCCTCCGAAGACATAGAGAGCCTATGAGTCTTTTTCTGGATCATTAGTCTCCTGTTATTTTCTGATCATGTTTGATGTGCCATGAATATTACATATGGTGTCCATAAATTTTAAAGACACATTTTGATGCCAAGAAAGGGCTAATTTTTAACAGGCAGCAAAAGTTATTTTAGGCTTAGTGTGAAAAGACATAGTGGACTACAAATTTTTGTCTCATGAAAAAGGACATCAGCGAACCAGACATGGAGAAGAGAAAAAGAAAAATGGCTGAGTTTAGCATGCTTTCAATCCTTCTTTTGACCTGAAAGAAAGATGAACCAGCTGGAAGAGGGGACTTAGGCTCCCTCTTACCCCCTAAAATTACTTCCAGACTCCGCCCTGATGCCAACAAAAAAGCAACATTTTCCTTTTCTTTGTTTTGTGCTTTTTATTGATGGTCGGCTTACTGCTAGTCTTAATATGAGCTAACGGCACAGTAAACAGCTATTGCCATAAAGCAGGTAGAGACCTGGGGCCTCATTTATAAAGCTTGCTTACGCACAAAACGGAGTCTAAAAACTGCATAAGCAACTTTCCTTGCAAACTTTGGGATTTATGAAAGAAAACTTAGCGGGAGAATGTGCGCAACTTTAAGTTGACTAAGGACCTGGCTTACGCACATTTTGGACATGGAGAGCACCTGCAGTGCTGCTGCTGAGAAGATAGAATTGTCAATTCCAGCAGCATTATCACTTGTCCCGCTTCGTGCGCACACAGAACAAGCCTCCCCCCCCCCCCCCCCCCTACAGACACACACACACAAGCACACATGCGTGCGCACGCACGCACACACACACACACACGCACGCGCAGACACACATACCCACACAGCCTGAAGCGCAGAATAGGGAATGCTGAATATTAGCAGGGGGGCAGATAGAGATAGAATGTCATGCGTCTGTGACAGTGTCAGCGTCCTGTCACTGTGAACCAATTGGTCATGCGCGACTACTTGGTCAAAGAGAAATGCCCATTTGATTGACTGGTTAGCATGTGTGACTTTCACCTGGGAGTCTGGAGGTAAAATCCTGATTGGATCTTTTTTTTTATATCCGCCATAGACCTCTCTGAAGAACTCACAGCATTGACGGCTTCAGCAACGCTGTACCACTCTGTGGATTTTCTCTTATTTGTTTTGCAAAAGCACTTCCTTTCATTTCTCCACCTCACCCACAAGTACCTGAATGTCTGCTTGTGAAATAGCGCTTCCTTGATCTGCGGTCGTGATCAAAATGCTGCAACAAGCCAGCTTATGTATATGCATGAGATCCACAAGGCACTTTGCATTGACCATTTATGGCAGTAAGTGGGCGTGGTGAGGGCGGGATGTAACTAAAAAGCAGCTGAGAACCTTTCTCGTTAATCTCTGATTTATGAAGCGGAGATTGCGTGCAGCTGTGTGTACTCCATGTTTGATAGATCACAAACCTACTTGGTGTAAGTACATTTTTTTTGCTGAGCTCATGTACGGTTTTAGTAAGATTCTATGCCACGTTTGATAAATGAGACCCGTGTTCCTACTTGAACCACATAACTGTCAGTGATGTTTCTGATCAGCAGAGGGCGACAGAGTGCTGTCCAATGGGAAGTTGCTCACGTTCATGGCTCAATAACTACTGAAACCAGTTTTAAAGTAGTAGCTTAAAATGGATAAATCTCTTTACTGTCGCTTTAGTACACATACTAGCAAGTTATCTGCAAACTCAGCTTCAATATAAACGAACAAGGTCTTCCCTGCTGTTTTGGTTCTAACAGCAGGGATTAGCTCATGAACACAGAACTGAAAAGGATTTGCTGCATTCAGACGGTTGCTTGGAGTTCATGTATGAATTTTAATAAGGGAACACCCCCCGTGAGCCGCGTGAGTCAAAGGAGAAAATGGAGACAGATTGAGAAACAATTCTGTCCCAGACATGCATTAGCAGAGGAACGCTGCCTCAGTCAGAATTTTCTCATCTCATTACAAAGCTGAACTGCTGGTCTGAACATTGAGACTCGTCTATATACTCATTAGACTGTAGCTTCACAAAAACTCAGTGACACGACGCACAGCAAGACATTCATGTCAAATAAAGAGAAATGTGTCCAATAATGTTTGACAACACACACAAAAACCCTTTTGTTATTTCCTTGCTGTTTACTTTTGTACAAGATATTAACATCAAACATATCGAATATCAATATCAGCCTGATCAATCCCGGTGGCTGTCTGGTGGGATCTGGGTCCCTTGTCTCTGCTGGGTTCCGGGCTCGGCCAGCTGGGGGGTGGGAGGCTGCGAGTGGGCCTGTGGGTTTGCTGCTGATACCTCCCTGGACTCTGCTGGCTGCTGGTTGTGGCCCCCCGGGGCAATCCTCTGCGCCTCTCAAGGGGGGCAGGGGCTTTTCTGGTTGCAGTCTCCCTGGGATCCCTGCGCTCTGGGGCAGCTCCTGGATCTCTGGGACTTGGAGCTCCTTCCATCTCCTACACATCTTTGGTGGGCAGATCTGTGGCCCCTCACACTCTATTGGATGCTCTTATAGAGAAGCCTTACATAAACAAGCGCGTGTACACACACAGGTGCTCACATGGTGCTCTCATAAGTATGGACTTGGGCACGTTCAACACATGTCATAAGGCTGTGGTTGGTACTTAATGCACTGTGATTTATTATCGTGATTGTTCAGTAAAACAATGCTGATTTTATATTTCTTCAAGTCGACGCAGTGATAGCTTGCTCCTGTTGTATTGTTGTGTGTCCCATTTCTGCAGATCTAGAAGCAGACTCTTGTTCATCATTGATGGTTTATTTTTGCTTCTTTGAAATTCACTCATAAAATGAATTTTCCTGGAATTTCTAATTCCTTTTTCAAGTCAAACGTAAAGGCTAAAGCAGGTTTTTGACCTTTAACCTCTCATTCTATCTGTTAAGTCCATTTAAGACATGTTAGAACATCGTGAATTACACGAAATTACACTTCCTTACATATAAATGCACACATTCCATACAATGAAGATGGAAACAGAATGAAAGTGAGCTTGAGGGCCAAAAGCATAAAGGATTAAAGGAACATTGGTGTCCTTGTAGATCTGGTCCTTTTGGTTGATTTATGAGAATCGTGTGGCTGTAAACCCTTCATTCAAACTTCATTAGATGTTACGAAACAAAAGATCTCGGATTAAATTCTCAGGAGTTGGATTTAAACATCAAATCCTTAAATGTTTTAAGAATTTTATTCAGATTCACATGAATTCTATTTGTCTGCAGCAGATTCAATAAAACACAGAAAATAAAACATCCCGATTGGGATTGTGTTAAATATTCAGACGAACCATTTTGTGTCTAGCAAGATTTAAATTAGCACTTGCATTATATACTAGTCACTATACTACCCATGACCCAAAAATGTACTTTTTAGCCTTTTTGTGCAATAATTATAACCTAATTCAATTTTTTTATTATACAATTCTTCATTCATCTTTACACATGAATTAACTATTATGACCATTTAAAATATTTCTTTAAATGCATTCCTAACATTAAACGTTGGCTTTACAGAGGCTCAAATGCAACATCTTCCACTGCTAATTATTAGGGGGAAAAAAGTGAACAAACATTTTGAGTAGCTGCCCACTGTAGGAACCATTATGGATGAAAGGGTTAATTTGTTATCTTTTAGTCTCTTAAATGATCACCCTTAAACATGTTTAAAAAGCCAATTTTTTCAGTGGGTCGTAATCCTTACAGCCCAGTGTCTCCCTCCCTAGTGTGGCGGACCTGTTGATGCATCTGTGCAACAGGTTAAATATGTAGAACAGCACACAACACATCAAGTCACAACTACTTTATTTGTTTTATTGAAATATATTTAACCCCTGAGGCTAGATGGAAAGGCTCGTCTAGCTCTTCAGCCTGACACCACCGGTCAGAACAAGTCAAAAACACACACATGGTACACACACACAAATCTGTCTCCCCATTCAAACTTTACATGACCCCTCACACAATGACGCTAATTACACGAGTTAAAGTTTGGTCTGCAAAGAAAACAAAGTCTCATAAGCGCTGTTCAAAAAAAAAAATAAAAAAAAAAAAAAGGAAATGACTTCTGGTTCTGATGCTGTCCAGAAGCAAGATTTTTCTTTGACCCTTGACCTTTTGTGCTTTTGAAAAGATTCAGGACCAAATTATTTCTCAACCTCTTGGTCCAAAACATACAGTACTGAATACATACAAATAGGAAGAGTCCACCTGTGAACTAAAAAAAGTTGTTTTTTTTGTGTTTTTTGTGTCACCCAGGTCAGGAACACGATGAGGTAACACACATCAATAAATTATTCAGTTGCTTTAAAACACTTTGCAATCATATCAAGAATACAAAACTGGTATCAAATACACTCCATACAAATGTTTCCGTCGACACATTCAGGGTTTTTTTTTGTCTTTACTTTTCCTCCAACCATCCAGGCTGTCTGCTCGCCAAGCAGGAATGACTGGACTCCTCCTGGAAATCAGCTATTTTTTTTTTGTTCGTTTCTGCTTTGCTTCAACTTCCAGGTGAAGATCAACTTCATTCATCAAATAAACACAAAAACACTAAAGGTGTTCTTTCTATATGCTTTTGATGACTACATCTCAGGTAATCGGTGTTACAATCGCCAAGGCAACAGGCGTCTGCAGGCCCACGAGGCTACAACTCCAATCAGCTGTTTGCTCAGAGTCTGATTTTTACACATTCCCTTTCCTCATGCCTTTCCGCTAGCTCAGATTTAAGAGATAACATGCCTACAGGAAAAATTCAAATTGTATTAAAAGTGCAATATATATTTATATATATATTCATATTCCTTCATGAGGTGTTGGCGTGTTTCCAGACAGGAAGAACTGCCCACCAGCGCTTGGACCTGATAACAGTACGAGCCATTTTGAAGGCATTACACTAAACGTTCCACCTAAACCTCGACTAAATGTGATGCTTGGACTGGAAAGCTCTAGGATGTTGGAACCCGGGGAGCGCCGTTCCGCCAGGTGGAGTTATTCACCTCCTAACGGAGTCCTGAAGTCCATGATGAAAAAGCAGATAAGGTTGAAATAAAGTGACATCACATAATTTTGGTTTGTGGCCAGTGCAAAAATCAGCTTCTCCGGCGCGTCTCAGCCTTTATTCCCTCAACAAAATCCTGTTTAACAGCAGTGAATCAGTCATAAGATATTTTATGTATATAGATATATCACAAAAATTTGTAATTTTGCACAAAAGATACAAAATATATGGAAATTTACAGTTAAATATATTTTTTTATAACTGATGCTTGTATAGATTCAACCACATTTATCACACCACCAACAATCACTAATGGGGAAACCAAACCCACAATAATCACCGTTCCACCACAATCCTCAACAGATCAGCTCCAGCTCTCTCCAGAGCCAACCAGGACATGGTCATGTGGAGCATGTTCCAGTCATTCTTCGTCACGTCCACCAACACCACCAAAGTAGCCATCACCGCCTTTATAAACCCTCCGTAAACCCTCAGAGAAGCTGATCCAGAGCCGACTGCAGCTCTAGTGAGATGGTAGAAAATACATAAAAAGTTTTTAATATTACTTCCCTTTTTCCATCTCGTTTCTCAAGAGTTTTTCACCAAACCGTTGCCATTTTGAGCCACACTTAATAAATTCACTAATTAGACTTGATGGTCAGTCTGGAGCTGTTCAGGGTTGAACACATTTGGGTACGACTCAGTCCAAGGTGAAGGTCTGAGGAGGAGGACATCCGTCCCAGACCCGATCCATCTCCCCAGTCCCTTCCTCTTTAATGTTCCAGTAGTTAAACTCTGCTGGGGGGGTCCCTGATGTCCAGAAGTGTGTTCTTGTGCGTGTCGGTTTGTGTTTGTGTAGTAAATAACCAGGACAAACAGAATCACAATATGGCGCAGTGAAACCTGTGGGAAGCCGTGGAACGTTCAGCTCGCCATTTCATCTTCTTTTTCTTCTTCTGGTTTCGTTCTGGAACTTGTTGTCTGTAGGTGTCAGAAATAAAAATGACCAAAATGCATTTTTTCCAATTGGTTTTACATGTGTGAATTTTAGGAGGTCCTTTTGAAAATTCGATTCAGCTGCACAAGTGAAACTATACATGTAAATTAATAATTATCAAATTTTTACTTCTTTTTACTGATCACTTAATTGATGTGGGATGACTAAACTCTACTGGGAGGAATATTTAACAAATGTCCTTTTTGCAAGGAAAAACCAAGACCCTACAACTTTGTTTAATTCTACAGTTTGACCACACGGGGGCAGTGTTGATTCATGCAGTTGCTGTTTGCAGGTGAAGCAAGGCTCTACCTTTTTCTAAAACTATGGCTATTGGATCCAAATATTACAGGATTGACGGCCGTTTTCAAAACAACATCACAAAGGGCCTGACACTACCTGATGACTCTAACCAGCTCGTGAAAGGCTTTGTCCACGTTCATCGGGGGATCCTTGGCACTGGTTTCAATGTAAGTTATCTGAGGAAAAATGAGCCAAAGTGTTAAATGCAAGTAATTGAACAAAAAATAATAATAATAACAAAGCTAAATGTCCATGTTTTCTAAGCTTATGATTAGTTACAGGAAGTAAATAAAACTCTTGTTCATTTTCTAATTTGACACCAAAATATATTATAACCCATTCATAAAAATGTTTCATGTTCATTTCCCAATCATGCAAGTTTCTGCTCAAGGAAAATTCCACCTGCTCCCTTCAGTGGTGTGAAAAACTTTGTCCCCTTCCTGATTTCTTATTCTTTTGCATGTTTGTCACACAAAATGTTTCCGATCATCAAACACATTTAACCATTAGTCAAAGATAACACAAGTAAACACAAAATGTTGTTTTGAAATGATGGTTTTTATTATTTAGGGAGGAAAAACATCCAAACCTACATTGCCCTGTGTGAAAAAGTAATTGCCCCTGAACCTAATAACTGGTTGGGCCTCCGTTAGCAGCAATAACTGCAATCAGGCGTTTGCGATAACTTGCTACGAGTCTTTCACAGCGCTCTGGAGGAATTTTGGTCAGCTCATCTTTGCAGAATTGTTGTAATTCAGCTTTATTTGAGGGTTTTCTAGCATGAACCACCTTTTTAAGGTCATGCCAGAGCATCTCAATGGGGTTCAGGTCAGGACTTTGACTAGGCCACTCCAAAGTCTTCATTTTGTTGTTCTTCAGCCATTCAGGGATGGATTTGCTGGTGTGTTTTGGGTCATTGTCCTGCTGCAGCGCCCAAGATGGCTTCAGCTTTAGTTGACGAACAGATGGCCGGACATTCTCCTTCAGGATGTTTTGGTAGACAGTAGAATTCATGATTCCATTTAACACAGCAAGCCTTCCAGTTCCTGAAGGAGCACAGCAACCCCAGACCATCACACTACCACCACCATATTTTACTGTTGGTATGATGTTCTTGTCTGAAATGCTGCGTTACTTCTACGCCAGATGGAACGGGACATTTGCCTTCTAAAAAGTTCTACTTTTGTCTCATCAGTCCACGAGGTATTTTCCCAAAAGTCTTGGCAATCATTGAGATGTTTCTGAGCAAAATTGAGATGAGCCCTAATGTTCTTTTTGCTTAACAGTGGTTTGCGTCTTGGAAATCTGCCATGCAGGCCATCTTTGCCCAGTCTCTTTCTTATGGTGGAGTCGTGAACACTGACCTTAACTGAGGCAAGTGAGGCCTGCAGTTCTTTAGAAGTTGTCCAGGGGTCTTTTGTGACCTCTCGGATGAGTTGTCTCTGCGCTCTTGGGGTAATTTTGGTCGGCCGCCCACTCCTGGGAAGGTTCACCACTGTTCCATGTTGTTGCCATTTGTGGATAATGGCTCTCACTGTGGTTCGCTGGAGTCCCAAAGCTTTAGAAATGGCTTTATAACCTTTACCAGACTGATAGATCTCAATTACTTTTGTTCTCATTTGTTCTTGAATTTCTTTGGATCTTGGCATGATGTCTAGCTTTTGAGGTGCTTTTGGTCTACTTCTGTGTGTCAGGCAGCTCATATTTAAGCGATTTCTTGACTGAAACAGGTGTGGCAGTAATCAGGCTTGGGGGTGGCTACAGAAATTGAACTCAGGAGTGAAACACCACAGTTGGGTTATTTTTTAACAAGGGGGGCAATTACTTTTTCCACACAGGGCAATGTAGGTTTGGATTTTGTTCTCTCCCTAAATAACAAAAACCATCATTTCAAAACTGCATTTTGTGTTTACGTGCGTTATCTTTGACTAATGGTTAAATGTGTTTGATGATCAGAAACATTTTGTGTGACAAACATGCAAAAGAATAAAATCTGGAAGGGGGCAAATAGTTTTTCACACCACTGTAAATCAACGCACAAATATATTTCAACAAATTTCTATCTGACCATTTAGTTTAAGAAAAGTTTCATTCTTACATTATGTTTTGCTGCCATCTCCTGGCCCTGGTCAATCGTCACCTTCCTCAGATGAACCAAGTCCACTTTATTAGCAACCAGCACCATGGGGAACGCTTCTCTAAGAATAAATAAATAAACCCCACAAAAACCTTAAAGCTTTGGTGTAAAAACTAATAAATCAGAAATGTCAGCTCCTGCAAAATGCAGGTAACCATTTCCATGATTCAAATACAAGTTTAAGCACGGATTTGGTTACAGTCAGTCATTTATATTGTTTTCATGCAAATAAAACACACCCTGTTGCATTAAAGCCCACACCAACCATCTCCCTTGTTTGGACCCAGTTAGAGAACAGCATCGCTCGAGTCATAAAGAGTATTCCGTGCTGCAGAGTTTAGATGGCAGGTGCCAGATTTCTGCAACACTTGAACTAACAGTTTTTAGAGTGAGCGACAGCAAACGTGCTCAGCTCCATTAGCTGCTTCGGTTTCATCAGGGAACACACACCTCTCTCCTCTCTGAACCAAAAGCCCTCAGCATGTAGCTGTGATCAAACTAAGATCAAACTAGAAATAAGATCTTGAAAGTAATTCTGTCAAAAAACTAAATATTCACAAAACCTTCGTGTCTGCCGACTCTGCAAAGCTGAAGCCAACCCGATGAAGAGCCAATGACATTAAACTGCACAGAAACCCGTGTGTCAAAGCTCTCCAAACATGTGACTTCTCCTGCAAACGCTTTATCAGCTCAAATAACGCTGGAAAATTACAAGATTATAATCCAGATATTCACGTGAGTCGTAAACAAACGGCTTCACCACAAATGTCAAGAGAGCTAGTTCCTCTTTTGCCAACTGAGGCTGGCTAAATTTAGCAATACTGTACACACAGATTTTCATTGCTACTGTTGGCGGACATGATTGATCGACTGAGACGATGTGGTAACCCCCACCTGTCTTTGACCCGTAGAATGAGCTGATGGAAGCGGTCGACGTGCTCGAAGCTGGCCTTGTCAGTGACGGAGAACACAATAAGGAAGCCGTCTCCCGTCCTCATGTACTGCTCCCTCATTGCGCTGAACTCCTCCTGACCAGCTGTGTCCAGCACTGGGTGCATGTCAAAACAAAAACGCATCACGTCAGACGTCCAGAAATTATACACGCAAAAGCTTTTTTTGCTCCGTTATGCCCACAAACTCAACATTGGCCCACTCCAATAGAGATAAGGGAAACAGATATTTCAGAACAAATGCTGTGGGTAGCGGTAAGAGTTTGACTCCAGCTCACCATCCAGTATCGCCCACTGTCCGTCGATTTCGGTGTGTTTGAGGTACGAGTCCTCGATGGTGGGGTCGTAGTCTGGCACGAAGATTTTCTGGAAAAACTGGATGGTTAGAGCGCTTTTCCCCACGCCACCATCCCCCACCACCACCAGCTTGTATGTTGGCAGGTTGTCACTTGGCACAGCGCTGGTCGCCATGGCTACCTGGACAACGGCGGCAACGATGAGAAGTAGGCTAGTAGGTGGCTGATGAGACACCTGAGTGAAAAGGGAGAACGGAGCGGGGAGGATGAAGAAATGAAAGGAGATTAACACCAAAAGGAGGATGGAGGGAGGACAAAAGGGAGGGAAATTAAGTTTTTGCGGTTGCTTTCTCATCACCATGGAGACAAGGAGTCATCCCTATGAGTAGATATAAAAAGACAAATGGACCAGAGTGTCAACAGGTTCCCTTTCTTGTTCCTGCTCTCTTAGTCAGATAACCTTCAATATTTGAATGATTAACTCTGATCCACGACAGGAAATTCCATAAATGCCATCAGATGCCATTTATAGAAACAATGTTATGAAAGTAAATGTGACTGAATATCTGAATGTCTGAGGCATCAGCTCTTGATTCATTATTTGTTTCCACCTCCATTATTACTTCAAATGACAAAATTAAATATTGTTAATGTGATTTATACAAAACAAGCTAAAACTTCAATGCCATTTTTAATGCATCACATCTGGGAAATCCAGACCAACTGGATGCATTTTTAATTGCTTTTATTTGTGTGTAGTCAGAAAACAGTGAAGGTTATAAAACACAAGAATGTTTAAAAGTTTGTCTTAACAATAAAAAGTGAGGGTGACAGAACTGTCCTGTAATAATGGGTATGCGTTTGATGGAGAAGTGGGGGGCAGAAAATGGCATTTTCATATGTGAGATATGAACACATTAGCCTTTTCTCATCTGAACTTGTGTACTCGAGTTCTAGTGGAACGTCAACGACGGCCCAAGTACTGTTCCAATCCTAAGTACGCATCACATTTGCTTCCAGATTTGTTCTCGCTCCGCCGGCTGCATTGTGGATGCATTAATGCAGTCTTCTGCGGACTTGACAGCAAGGTATCCCATGATGCATCGTGTCAAACCGTTATACTCCAAATGACAGAAGAAAGCGCATAACTAGTGTTTAGCAGAGTCCAAATAAATATTAAGTTGTCTGTTGTTGTATAGAATTGTGTTTAACCACCTGTAAAATTTGCTGTGTGTATCTTTATTTTCCAGACCCTCAAAACGCTAGCCCACTATCAAAATAAAAGCAGCGTAGCCTTATCTGGCTCTGTTTTGATGAAAAACAAACTTTTCTCCATTCACCAGCAGGGATTGCAGGTATTATATCAATTTTAATAAAAATTGGAACAACTTTACAAATACGCGTTTATGGTTTTTTGTTATTTAGGAACGAATGAAACCTTTACTTTTGTGTCGGTGTAACGTCCAGAAAGGGTCATTTGTCACCTACACATTGACCTACATGCCACTGGTCATCTGCAGACATAATTCCATTCTCTAAAGTGGAATTTACATTCCATCTTTCAACAAGCCAGAAGATTCTGCAGTCCTTGTTGACATTTCAGGGGGGCAAGATGTCAGCCTAAGTTCCCAAACAAAGCTTTCTCTTGATAAGACTGCAGGATTGCACACGCTCAGGAAAGATGAACTTTTACAACTCACAAGTTAAATAATCACTAAATAAACATATGGTTGAATGACCAAATGTTATATGAATAACAATATTATATTGTTTGATTAATCTGTGCCCAATTCAATGAAGTTGAAATGAATTTTAATATTACAATGAAACATTTTGATGTTATGATCAGTAATGTTTGGTTTAACAAGTGAATCATTATCTACACACATGCACAATGTTCATTAGATATAAATTAAAGTTAACGTCACTGCAAATAAAGATTCTTCATCCACAGAACTAAAACATTCTTGTATCAGGAAAAGACGTGTTCTGAGGTTTGTTTGTTAACACCTCTTAACCCATTTTGTCCTGGTTGGCCATGTAATCATAACATGGGAATATTAAAACAGGATCACTTGGTGAGTGATTCAGTTAAGTTTGAACAGAGATCCGGGCCGGCCAGCCGGAGCAAAACTATTTGAACCATCATGGCTTTCGACAAGCCAAAAGCTGCCTGCAACGACACAGAAACTTGCTCCTTCAGCTACTCAGAAACAGCTGTTCTAGACGCAAACTGGTTCCAACCTGTTGTGCCTGGTGACATCTCTGGACTGGAGAAGTTGGTGCTGCGGTTAATCTACTGAACCTGGGTGCTCAGAGGTCATCCGACCTTTCTGACCTCCGGATCCATGAAGAGGGTCTCCAAAAAGGGTGAGGTAGACACACATGATTGTGTCTGATGCCGTTTTGATAAGAACCAACCTTGTTAGTTTAATGCAACCAAATCCTTTTCACTCCCAGAACTCAGTTTCTTCTAGATACAAGGTTCTGATGAACACACACCAATCATCCTACATCACATTCAATCCACTTATATTCATCCATCATATTCATCTTATTTAACTTGTCTTGTTTTTAATTTGTTTAGAAAATACATGTCTTAATTTTTATAAACTTGACTTTGAATTAATACGAAGTGGGTTGTTGGTCTTTGAATGTTTAATCAGAAGATTCTAGGATTCTTTGCTTTTTCAGTTACCATAAGGTTGATATCCTATATTTATATAGAATATCACATCTTATTGGTCATAAGTAAAGGTAATATATTAAGCTTAAACGCAACAGTATTTACCCCCTTCTACATCGGGTTGTTTTTTTTTAACTGCACCATAAAGCTTGTTAGCATGGCGCAGCAGAGTACAGTTCTGTTCCAAATGCCATCCTTGTCCTCCCGTACCGTCTGCTGTACTTACCAAGAACAAACTTATCAAATACACAAGTTGGTACAAGTGTAGTTGAGTATTGAGTAAAGTCCCTCATCTCTGATTGGCTAACAGCAATATAACTCTTCTGCTGCTTCCGTTCGCTCTTCTTCCCAGGGTAAAAAAAAATGCTACGTTGATGTTTTATGTCCACAAATAAGCCTGAACCTGTTCCACCATGTTGTGGAGTTACTAATTAGCTTCTACTAGCAGGGACATGGCGGGACCATTAACGCTAATTTTCCCTGTGATGTAGAAGAGACTGACTTTTTCTGACCCCATCCTTTACCCATCCATTTCCTTTCTATGGCTAATGAAGGAGACGAGGGTTGAAGACATTTCATCATGCATTTGAAACTCTGATCGATCGCATTTCAGAAAGAAAAACAGCAAAGTAAAAAGTGATTTCTTAGTGAATGAGACATTTAAGAGAAGGAAGCACTAGGGAAGAAGGGACTGCACCATAAGAGCTTTAGAGATGTGGCTCAAAGGAGGAGATCTGTACTGTCTGAGTCACATTTAATTAGAACTAGATGCTGTCAACTTTTTTTTTGTTTGAATTTAAATTGCAACTAGGTGCATTCCAGAAGAACTACAACAGAAACAACAACAAAAAACACTAGAAAACCAAGAAGCAATTATCAAAAGTGTCATTCACCATGGCATTGTGGTGAAAGCTGGTTCACCAGAACATTGACATGATAAACGCGTAAAAAGAGCTGAAGGTGCAACATGTAAGAATAGTGAGAATTTGACAGTGGAAGGAAAGTTATACTGAAACATTTTATATCCTACAGGGATCGTCAGTTTTTTTCCTTTAACTCATTCACTGCCAATGACGACTACAGTTGTCATTTGCATATTTTTACTCTGTGGGAGTCGGAACGAGACACCGCACCGTGAGAACAAACATCTCAGCTCTTATGCCGATCTTCATCCGCATAAGTCACACATCACGTGATCAGGAAGCAGAAAATCCATGTGTTATGAGATCGTTTTGGGCCGCTGCTGTAAAAAAAAAGTGATGGGAGAACTGGAAAAGCTTCTGCCGATCACAATTCAACAACGGATTATGAAAGAACAGATAAAGCTTGAAACGTGCAGATTCTTCCTGATGTAAGAGGTGAGTCTCCACTTTGTTTTGGTTGTTTTGGCGTCGACATCATCCTAGCACGCAATGTTCTGGGACTCTTAAAAAAAACAGTAAAAACTGTGAGAAACGCTGGCAGTGAAGGGCTTTTCTGATCAGGAAACGGCTGGCAGCGAATAAGTTAAAAACAAAGGAAGGAGGGACCGAACTACCGTTTACCATCCGTAAGCGTGCGGTTTCCGTGTCTCCTGTGAGCTAATACTCAAGCACCGACAATTGTAATTTAACAGCCGGCAAAAAGCTCCAAAGTAGTTTAAAGTGGTTGCAGTAACCAAATTTTACCACAGGATGTAATTTTTACTTCATTTCTACATAATGCACCTTTAAAGAAACCCCAGCCGCAGAATAAAAGCCAGACAAATGACAGAGTTTCTCCGGCCCAATTTAACAATCAAACCAGCAGAGAAAGATGACAGCTCAGATGGAAAACTAGCTAGTAATTATGACTTCTTTCAAGTAAAAAAGTAAACATCTGGGCACAATGTGCAGAATAAAGTGTTTTCTATAAGAGGAAAGTCAAGGCTCTGTGTATAAAAGAAAAAAATATCCGATTAAACAGCACAACAAAAAAGATCTGTTCACATTTTACCTCAGAAAGAAGAAGAGAGGAGAGAAGACAGGAGGAAAAGGAGGGTGAAATGAATCATTATGGGGCAAATAAGGACACTTTTCAAATGGTATAATTAACGTTGAGTCACGACACTTTTATAGAAGGCTTCCTTTTTTAATGCAGTAGCATTTTCAGTCATGACACGTGAATTATAACATCTACGTACTCTTAATTATCCCAGGTGAATTAATATTAGCTGCTAATGTAAGGAAAGTAGCTTTAAAAGCAGAGGGTGTTAGTCTAGGCTTTTATTTTGAAATTTAATTACATGTTCAAAAGAACAAAGTGTGTCAAAAACATTCATATTTTCATTTGTTACCATGAAATCTCCTGATTGAAGTTAAAAGCAGACCAAAAAAGGCACTTACTACCCACACAGCACCCCCCCACCCCCACCCCACCCACCAGCGCCGCCTCCATCCACCAGGAAACAGCTGTCAGCTGGCCCGAGTCCATCCTTCACTGCTCGGCACAATAGAGGGAAGGAAGATGTTTCCTTCCTTTCCAAAAGGCAACCAGTCATTTAGTGACCCTGCAGCAATCGGCCAGCACTGAGCAAAGTCTCTCAGAGAAATGTTTCCGACGTTAAAAACATGCAAGTTTGGCTATAACTAAAAATCTGAGCCACCACAGGAACTCAGAAGACCATGATGGACATTTAAGGCTTTGGAGAAAATTAAAAAAAAGCCACAAAAAAAAAGTTCAAGCACATCAAGCATCATGTGTTTAGTATGTCCTAACAGTTTAACACGCATCATACATGAAGAGGGGTTCTTCCTGCGGTTACATCAGGTCAAAACCCAAAAGGGCGTGTCTAGATTTCGCTCCACAAATCAGTCTGGTGTGGTGAACACTCCCCTTCAACGCCAACACAAACCCTTGACCACTGCTTCTTTTAAACAGAATCAGAGGTCCGATTTAAAAACGGCCAACTGGTCCAGTCGTGCATTCATTCATTGTTCCGTCTGTGCAAAAGTGAAAGAAGAAAACTTTGTCGTTCTGTTTAGGCTCTTTGCTTTTTGTGGTTCAGCTTAGCTTTTAAAAATTGCTACCACATTTGTCCTAAACAGCATTTGTTCTACTAAACTATGACATGCAACAACTTCCCCTCATGGAGTGAGACGGCCAGAACTCAAAATATCACATTTCAACTTCCACCTAATCTGCCAGGACTAAAAACACGACCCTTCTGCATGATGAGTGTTGCACGTTTAAAATGAGGCGTGACTGGAGCTAATATTTTATCTTAATGACTTCTAATCAAACGAGGGCTGGCTTGGGTAAAAGTTGCTGGTTTCCATCTTGAGAAAGGATAGAGATCCCCTTGTTCACGTGGGAACAGAACAGCGGCATAATTCACAGAACACAAATAAGGAAGAACACACCCCGGCCTGTGAAGCCATGCTGTTATCGACACTAATGGATCATTGAAAGAGGCGCGGACTTTTTAAAACGCATTTAACAAACCCAGAATATATAGATTATGAACCCTAATTTTTAAAAGAAAGAATCAGACAAATATGATAGCATCATGCTATAAAACATAAAGTAGGTCTTAATTAGAGAGGATCCATGACTTTCCTGTGATGCCTCTATAAAAAATGACAAGCTGATGCACACTAATAATGGGAGTCTGTTGTGGCTGAAGTTGCACAACATCAAAATAACTGATGCTGCTATGTGAAATTCACAATCTGTGGAGAAAATATTTCAATTAAAGTGAGATTGCATTTCTTTTAGCCGCTAAACCCTTTACCGAGATTATTCCCAGGGTAAACCACCTTCTAGCAACCTTGCCTTCAGTGAGATGGATTGCTGCTTCTTCAGAGTAATTAATTTATTATTATTATTTTTTTTTTTTTTTACACATTGTTGGGATGAAGATCCCACTGTGGGTCTTAAAAGTAGATCTACATGAATGGACAATCCTAGGCTAGAACTCTAGAGTAGCAAACGTTTTCCCTCTGCATGTTGGCCTAGCCACGCTCCATTGTTGCTTCAGCGGGTCTACAAATGGGCCAATCACAGCGCTGTTTGTAGAGAGATGTTGTGCGGGCTTGGTGCCTGAGCTGCAATGGAGAAAAACTACAAAGATGGCGTCAGCTCAGGAGCAGCGGTCATTCGAAGCGGCTTTGACTTCAACTTTGGACGATTTAGACATGGGCTCTTCTTTGAGTCATGAGAAGACAGTTGTGCCAAAGAATAGGGATGAGCCGGATACTCGTTTCAGATGAGTATCCGGTACGGATAAAGTATCTTTGACGAGTACGAGCATGAAACGAGTAAAACTCGTAAATATCTGTAATCGTGCTGAAGGAAAATCCTCATTGGGTAACTGACTGTCTTCACGCTCTGTGATTGGCCAGTCAAATAGAGCGCCCGCCCCTCCTTACACACAAAACTCAGCAGCCGGGAGCTCACAGCTCAGTCCGCGTCCGGTCCATCCACTCACACACAGACAGTAACGGATCTCTGTGTGCTTGCTTCACTGTTCACGTTTCTTCAGTACTCCCTATGTCAGGGGTGACCAATCCTGGTCCTGGAGGGCCGGTGTTCAGCATGTTTTGGTTTTACTCTGTTTCAACACACCTGATTTCAATCAGCAGGTGATTAACAGGCTTCTGCAGAGCCTGGTGAGCTGCTGCACAGGTGATTCAACCACTGAATCAAGTGTGCTGGAGCAGAGAAACCACTAAAACGTGGTGGATACCGGCCCTCCAGGACCAGGATTGGGCACCCCCTGCCCCATGTTTTCTTCAGTTTGCTTCTTTTTAAAGTTACTTTAAAGTTATTTAAAGTTACTTTTTTCGTAACGTACGTGGTGCATTTGACAAGACAGCTGAAAACGGCTCGTGCTGCGTCAGTCACTGCCTCCTCTCCGGTCGGGTTTTTTTTTTCTCTCTCCTCATACTCAGGATCTGCTCCCTCTTTCCTATTCCACTCTGTCTCTTTCTTTACATTTTTTAATCACAACTGTCTATTTTTTGATCATTTTAAATATATTTGAATAATTTTCTAAATTCTTTTGTCTATTTTGCATGTTTTGTTTTTGTGAAGCGCCCCGTGATTTTTATCTTGAGAGGCGCTTTAGAAAAGATCTATTCTTCTCTCTCTCAATTCATGCACTTAAATATCAATGTTCTGATTTTATTGAAAAACTTGTTCTGTATTAGTTCCTTTACTATTGTGATCAAAAACATTTAATCTCAACTCTGATGCTGCTCTGTAAATAGTTTTCAAATAAACAATACACATAGCAACTTCTGATCAGACAAAATATAACGTATTGATGTAAACCACACCCACTTCCGGTTAACGTACACCCACTTCCTGGTTAGGCCACACCCACTCCGAGTACAGATACAGATAATTTATGGGCCATTCCCATCTGTACCGGGTTGGCCCGGGCCAGGTAGTGTAGGTTGTTTACATATCTGGGTGGCCTGGTATTTTTCCGGGGCAACCGAGGCTCACTCTCAGCCCTCTTCTCGAGGGCCGACCAGGGCCAACACACCCACTGCTGAAAGCAAATTCACACCTTCCATTAGAGCAAGCCTCTGATTGGTGGGTAGAATCAGCCCACATGGGCTTAAGGCAAGGATGTGTGGAATCAACCGGGCCAGGCTGGGGCCGACTGGGGCTACCCGGCCCGGGCCGACCCGGTACAGATGGGAATGGCCCAATAGATGGTAGAACAGATACAGATACAGATAGTGGTGTACTCGCTCATCCCTACCAAAGAATTATGTGTATTTTCTTCAACAATGTAGGCTGAACTGCCTCATTGACAGATTTCCTTACAGGTCCTTCACACTGGAGGCATCAGTGGCATGAAATGGCATTGGAATGGTTTACTAGCATGATTTGCTGCGCGCCAGTCCACAGCGGGAGAGTCTCAGCCACGGAGCGGCTGTTTAATGTCATATATATATATATAATGTTGTTCCTCTCCACTGCCAGGATTAAAGCCATGAAAAACACCGTTGCACTTCTCCAAAGATGCTAGGACTAAAAAAGCAGTTACGTCGCCAGTATTCACGTAATCTGCATGATATGAAATTGCATCGCTACAATAGTCTTATTTTGAAAATTACCAGACGTCTTACACTAAAACAGTGTGTGAATTCCTGTCTAGCCCCATGTTAAACTGCGGAAATTGATGTGTCCCAGAAGCAACTCGCAGCAAAAACAGAAATCAATCCCATCTTTGAGCGGGATGCGGTGCGTTGCTTCTGGGACGCATAAATTTCTGCGCATCACCCCCATAGACTATAATGGATTCTGTTTGAAGCAGCGACATTCTGATGCCTCCAGCGTGAAGCAGGCTTTGGCAATGACGATGTCATATTCATTGCTCCTATTGGTCCCAAAGTTGCCCAACTGCATGCAGTAACGTAGCTCTGTCTATGGTGGTGGCCAGACTATATATTTACACATATTGGACAGCCTGCCAGGCCAACATAACTCCTGAAAGGGGGAAACTCCAGATTTCCATTTAAAAATTATAAAAAGCTGAAAACAGCAAATAAATAAATAAATAAGGGCCAAAAAATAAAATATTGTACCACAATTGACAAAAGACTTTGTAAATTACATATCAATAATGTTTTCATATTTTACCTTGATGTATTAGGAGACAAGTCTGGCATTTTGTGGATCACAAGCTTAAGAGTTTTGGAAACGTTGTGTAATCCTGCGTGTAATTTAGTTGCACCTCCTCGTTCTAAGCAATGGAATAAATTGGATTAAGTTAAGATTAACATTCTGAAAATCAGATTATTTGTGATTAAACAACACCTAAATTTAAGATAAAAGCAATGCACTTTTTTTTCTAATGACATCAACATTTGCGTGACGATCCTGTGTAGCAGCTGGCCTTTTTGTGGAATAATGATGCCAGCGTTTCGCCTGCAGACAGAGAAATGATCTGATGATTTCACATTTCTATTAATAGGTCTTAATCTGGTGCTTCTGAGTGATCTCATGCCATGATCTGATGAAGAATCCCTCAGTGTCGTCCTCCTCACATCCAGCTTCTCAGACGCCGCTGGTGTGAATGGCAGGGCTAAATGAAGGGTTTTCCCTGATCGTTTCTGACAGAACTGGGTTTTTTCGACCCCATGGGCGATTTTGACACGCAGAAAAGCCAAGGCCCGCTTGTGTGAGCAGCCGATGGAAAACAAGACAGTAGCCGCCCCCAAATAACGGACCTGAACTGCTTCATGGTTTTCTTCCAAGATTAGAAAACAAACAACCCGTTAAATTAAAACAACTCGTCCTCTCTGACCGGTTAGCTAGCTGTCATTAGTGGAAGGCGCTTGAGTAAGTTACTGTTCCTGAGATAGAGGGAGAGAGACAGAGCGGACCGGGATTTTAAGACATTCGTGAACGAGCTAATTCGTTTGACCGAGCGGGCCAGCTACTTACTTACCGGAATGAACTCCTCTACGGTGAAAGAAACGTCTTCACACCGACATGCTGCTCCTCCTCATCGCCGCCGCCCTTTAAACGGCACAGAGAGACGGGAGCGAGCTGCCCACATCTGCCAAACAATGCAGCGAGTAGCTAATCTTTGTATTGCAATAGTTGATACTATATATAGAAATGCCTCGGAGGGGGGAAACCCGTTTCTAGTGACAATATTAAACAGAATAAAGTGGCTTTTGGTTAAAGTTTCATCTTCGAATGCATTTAATTCTGAATTTAACAAAATGGAGTATGTTTCCAATGCTTAAGTTTTATATATTTCTTTAATAAACGGGAAAAAGAAATCACCGATTTCCCCCTTTTTAGAAAAATGGGCTATTCCTACGAGTAGCGAACGCCGTTAAAGGGATAGTAGCTAATTAGCATTTCCAATAAAAGAGGGTATTGACAGATAATTTGGTTGATATTCTGGGTCATATGTTTATTTTACTTCTATTTTTATTTGATTTCCAATACAGAAGTGTCTAATTGATTTTTACATTATATTTTTAAGCTCAAAACATTGTTTAGCTATTTGGCACTTGCTAGTTCTTCTATCATTATCATCATTTATTCAATATGAGGAAACCTACTGGTGGAAAAACATGTACATTACTGGAAACATAATTAGCCACATACAGGCAGCACTTTCCAGAAACCACAATAATGATGCTTTTTGTCAGCATGAACTCTCGGTGGCAACTTAAAGCCACATATGACTGAAGCAAACATTCAGGAATGTGGATAGCTCATGTATAGTGTGGATGTACTGATACATTATTCATGGACACAAATATATTAGAAAGTGTTCCGGCTATTTTCATAAGAAACAAAATTAAGGGAAAACGTTTAAATGTGGAATTGTAAAAAAAATACATCTGCACATTAATAGTAGATTTAAAAAAAATTTTGGTTAGTTTATTTTAACAGAAGGGCATATAGCTAAAAAATGTTTAAAAATAATTTGTTCAAATTTTGGAAAAGGGGGTTAGATATGCATTTTACCTATTTAACTAGGTCTAATAATTACACATTAATCGTTTCCCTGCTCCTGTTTTAGTAATGGGAAACGACTTATTGAAAATTATGTCTCTCTTTATGCAGTATTATCCATAAAATAGGATCTGAATATTTGCTGAATCAAAATTCATGCAAAAAAGTAAAATATAGAAAAGTGAAAGAGGTATTAGTTGATAGAAATTAACCAGTGCGATCATGTTTGTAAATGAGAAGTGGTTCTCAAACGGTTTTCCTGGATAAATAAAGGTTAAATAAAAAGAAATCCAGGCAGACCGTATCGACCATTTTGGTACAGTGCGTGCCATCAGAAATATTGCAGTTTTTTTTCCTTAAGTTATTTTTTTCTCCACCTTTATCTTATCTCAGAAAGTCATTCCATCTAACAAAAATTGTTTTGGGGAAAAATACACTTAGTTACTCATTCAAAATAAGGGAAAAGTCATACAGAGGAATTAATTTGACTCCTAATGGAGCAAATTTATTAATTAGGAAAAGTAAAATAGAATTTCAGGATGAGAAAATGGTGAAAAAAAGAAATCTATAACAACTGTCATTAACAAATAACAGTTAAAAAAGAAGAGACAGGTCTAAATTAGGTAAAAATGCAAAAACAAACAATACCGCTAGTACACAACAAGAAATCAACACAGGTAAAGATGACTGTAACCATCATGCTAGATAGAAAGAAAACTATATATAATACATATTTACATCAATGTGTATCAAGGCATTTGAAAACAGAACAGCTTTAGGAATGTTTATCAAGCCACTTCTTAAAGCAGTTCTTTTTTTTAATGTAAGGCACAGAGGGACTTGGCACTTTCCGCAGTAGACTGATGTCTTCACTCTTGGGATGCCAGATTTCAGGCAATTGCTGCAGTACTTCCTGGACTGTAAGGCATCCCTCTCATAAAACTCAGGCATACAGGTGAGCTTTTTGGGCTGTGGCTCCAGAGGTGCTGCTGAGCTCTCAGCAAACTGCAGCATTTCTGCAGCTAGTTGCTCTTTGAACTGTTTGTGGCTGAGTGGCTTGAGGCAAGTCCATTCTTCATCTCGAGAAGCTCCTTGTAGAGAATGAAGCTGTTGACGGTGGCGATGTCAACAAAATGGTAAAACATAAAAATAAAAAAAGGTCTTATACCATTTTGTGGATTTATGATGACACTATAGTGGCTAATCAAAGCGTCGGACAAATCCACACCGCCCATGTTTTTGCTGTAGTCAACAACAGCATCAGGAACTGGAATGCCTTTGGTCTGCCACACACCAGCTGTTTTTACCTTGCGTTAGACAGACTGTCCGCTGAAGGCTGCATGCACCGTAGAGCACATGGTAACCTCACATGTGTCCATCCAAACAGCATGCCGTCCATCCTCAGCCATCGCAAATCTCCCCTATCAGCCTGTTTGGGCAGGTTATTTTACGCTGTTTTGGGAAAACCGATGAGATTTTATTGGATTGTGCCACAACATCCAATATTTCTGGCACTTAGATGCTGGAAAAGGGCGGGGCTTGTATAAAAGTTGTCTACAAAAAGTGTGTAGCCTCTACCAAGCAGAGAGAAAGGAAGGAGGTCCATTACTGAAAAGTAGCTCAGTCCGTTCCCTGTGGTGGAGACACTCTTGCCACTGTAGACAAAGAAATTACAGGTAAATCCTGTGGAGGAGTCAGTGAGCACAAACAGCTTGTACCCCCACTTAGTTGGCTTTTTTTTTTTTGTACTGCTTCATGCTATGACGAGCCTTGGATGCCACCATTCGTTCATCGATGGAGATCATCTGATACGGGTGAAAGTGGGCCTGGCAGACCGTCACCATATCAGTGTGGAGTGGCTTGATCTTGAAGAGCCTGTCATAGTCTGCTGTGTTCCTCTTGTTGTCATTTTCCTCATCTTCTTCAGGGTTGCTGAGGTGCAGTGACCACAAGATGGCTTTAAAGAGATCTCTCGTCATTTTGTCTCAGGGAAGGGAAAGTTACAAGGCCTCATCTTTCTCCAGTAGTCTGCTCTGTGATGCACACTCACAAGACTGGTGAAGATTATGATCACCATGAAAATGTAGAAATCACTCACTTTCAGAGCTCTCTAATTCCAGCCATGAGTCATCTAACAGCATTGGCATTGGTGTTGTCAATGAGTGTACAAACCACAGATGGGCTGAAGAAGAGCTGGAACAGAGAGAGTGGCGACCATGAAGCACTGAAGTCAAAAATGGGCCCAGGTTTCCTGGCTGGCATTGATCTGAGGGGTTGGATGTCTTCCTCCTGTCTGTTGCGCCATTTTTCTTCTTGCCCCTCTGAATCACCCAGACCCCGCTTAGGAAGGAAAAGGTGAGTTTGGGGCTTTCCTTTTCCTTGGTTGTGGTGGTTGATAATGATCATCATCAGAATCATCCCTCTCACTGTAAAGTCACATAAAAAACGTATTTGTTAAAATGCGTAGCCAAGATTATGTACATAAATAACAAGAAATAAATTCATTGGTAAATATACCTGTAATTTTCTACAAAATCAAAAACAAGAGTTGAGGAACATGAATTAGCTACATACTTTTCTGATGATGGGATTTCATAATCCAGATCACTGTCCTTTTCTCGATAAACTAAATCCTCCTCATCTGAGGAAGAGTCAACAGGACACAGAGTAGCACCACCGTCAGCTGCTAACATGTCCAGTACATCGTCAGTGGTCATTTTGCCAGCCATTGTTAATCCAAGACCTCGAAATACAACAAAACAACGTAAAAACACTCGAAATCCTATAGGGAAAACTGGAGCGCTGGAGAGCGTAATAGCGCCATATTGGATGGGTCCCTGACTCTCCAAACCCAATGCAGGGTGGGCAACTACGCCCATTTTGTGTGCAGTCTATGGTTGTAACAACTGGCGCACTACTGAAAACAGATCACGTGGGAGTACTATTGACTTTTCTAGTTTACCTGTTGGGATTTTAAATTTTTCTTCAATTTATTTTATTTTATTTATCACGCCATACTTTGTGTCTGTGAAAAAGCATAAGAAAACGTGCATTTAGTTGGGCAAACGCCTTCCTCAGTAGAAATAAATGAACTGGGGCTGAATGGAGACCCATCCAAGATGGCGGCTCGCTACTACGCCAGCTCCTTCGCGTCTACGTAAAAGATGTCTATGGCAAGTCAGTGGCCCAGGTTCCCTCCGTGCGCCACGTGTTCTGCGTCCACAAATCACAGCTCGAAAAATTAAAAGTTAAAGGGTATAAGAAATTTGATTTGAATATTCTGTTAAATGGGGGAATAGTGGTGTATAAGTTAGTCACAGACTTTTTAAGGGACAGTGGATTACTTGATAGAATTTAGGTTTTTTTTAATAGGATACTCCCCACGTCGACTCACACTCTCATTCAGTAGGTGGCGGAAATGCACCTGAAAGTTGGTTGCCACCCGCCAATTAAACAACAGAAGAAGACGACGAATCTCAGTTCATGCCGTAAAACTAGTTGATGACTACATGCTTTACGGTCACCGCCATTAGTTACGTTACCGTTTTCTGCAGTGCACTTTGCTAATCTGTCCTTGTAAATATGCATCATATGCGTGAGTGTTCATTATGTTTTTGCTAGTCTAAAGTAAGAGTAGTTGTTTATCCTTGTTGTGTTGATATGTTACAAAAACAGTTTGAATCAGCGTCGGAAAATCACGCAGGCTTAGCAAAACGTCATCAAGCTATAGCTAACAGACAACTGGTTTTATTAGCTAGTTACCCTCACTTGCTACTACAGTTTATTTGTTTAGTTGAAAATGTGCATTTTTGGATTATTTTCAATGAAAATAAGGCCACCCATTTTCTAATATGTACTAGCTGTGACTGTGGGGCAGCAATAAGTAAGGTAAACGACGTTTTACACAACATCTATACAAGGAGACTGCATTGGACATTTTCATATATTCGTTGTTTTATTCAGGCAAAAACATTAAACACGAGTTATTATTTTAAAGCAACAAAAGAAAAATTCTGGATTCTAAAAAACTGACGGTCATTTTTTATTGTTGCTCTAAACTAAATCATTGAGTGATTTGCCATTTTTGAAGATAGATAATTAATGCAACTTTTCAACAGAGTATTTTTCTATAAATTAGCACAGTGGTCGGCTAATGAACGTGTAAACTTCAGTGCTGAAAGTGAGTGTTTTTTAGTCTATTAACCTGAAAATCTTTGTTTTTCATAGTTAGCTCCGTCGATAACAATTCAACAAAAGTAAAGTATGTAGTTAATAAATCTGTAAACATTTTTTTCTGTTTAACGTATCACTGAAAGAAAGCCAGAATATTTTGACGGTGTAAGGAAACCTAATTTATTGTGGCTGACATGTCTATCTACATCCTTATCCCCCCACAGATTTGGACGACTGAAGTTTTCAGCTCCCTTCTGACAAAAACAACAACAAGAAGAGCGGATTGAAAACACAGGATGGCATCTCATTTCCTGAAAGTCTCAGTACTTCTTCAGAAGTACCGGACACCGCTGGTCATTGCGAGCTGTGGCGGAGTCTTTGCAGCGAACATGTTCTACCATGTTTTCCCCAACTTGTCCTACCGCCAGCTCTATCAGGCCTGGTGTAAAGGAGAGCCAGTGATGCTGTCTGAAAAACTGGAGTGTCTCTTTCAGCAGGTTGTGTTTGCAGAATTATCGTAACATTCACTTAAAAATTTAAATAGACTCTGCATGTAGAAGCAGTTTATTTTTATCCAACTTTGAATTGTGGTTTCTAGGTGCTGAAGGACTATAATGTCAGCTCAACCAAGAATTTCTTAGCCTTTGCGTCTTTTGGATTCCATCCGGTTGGTGCTGGTGTCCCGTGGCTTCCTGCTGGGGTTCAGATCGGCATCCCAGCTAACTTTAACAGCACTCTGGATGACCCGAGCGGCATTACCAACCGCAACGTCTTCATCAACGACAAAATGGTGGACTGGAGCAGCGAGGCTGGCTGTGCTCTGAAGGAGGCGCTGTTGTTTTCCGTCGAGGCGCAGAAGTTTGCCATTGCACGTGAAGTGGCCCGCTTGCAGTCAGGAGGACCTGTTATGAGCGCAGCTGTTGCTCCGTTCTGTCTGGGTGGGGTTTGGGTGTACAGCGTGGTACTGAAGCAGGTGTTTGGGCTGCACGGCGGGCCCATGCTACTTCGTGGGGCTGTGAACATTGTGGCGCTGGGTATCGGCGCTGTTTCTTACTTTCTCACCTCGGACGCTTTGAGCCAGTGGCTTGACTACAGCTCAGACCGGCGTGCGGCTGGAGTGTCTCGGGAGTACGCTAAAGGAGGGGTGGAGTTTTATGATAAAATCTTGTCCAGAAACAAAACTCTGCGCTCTCTGATGGGGAAGAAGGGAGAGGAGATGTATTCACCCAGTGGTAACCTCTTTCCTGCTAACATCCTTCAGCTGAAGCACACGCCGTACACTTCCAGGAGGGAAGGCATCCTCACGCTGCTGAAAGAGAAAGCTTGAAATGTAGATGTTGCATTTTTTTTTACTTTCAAATGCTATAATGCTTGTCTGAATATTATTTATAAGTGAAAAGGGTAAGCGATTAAAATTCGGAAGTGTCTTTTAAAGTTATGGTGTGTCAGAAAACTTGTGTGTTCTTGACAGCAAAAACAAGATGGAGTAATGGCTGTGATTCATTTGAATGTAGTGTAATAAAACTCAAAATATGGCTGTCATACAATCATCTGATAAACTGTGAAAATAAATTTGATTAATTTTAATGAGCGGCGCCCTCTGGTGGTTAAAGTGGATAGAAAACATTTAAAGGTGTAGAACTCTGAAAAAAAAATTTTTTTTTATGATTTTTTTTCTAATTATAATCAACCATTCTTAAGTTTTTCATGCAGGCTGAACATGAAAATAGTCTCCTACACCTATCTCCCACATTAGCTTCTAATAAAAAATAGACGAAACTTTAGGATTAGAAATTCCTGACAGCTCTATGTCACACTGTCACTTAACGTCCATGGACTCACCCATCTTGACTCACAACGGGGAAGACTGTAGCTGGTTTAGCATCCAGAAAACAGCAGAGAACCTCTCGGCTAGTAGAAGCTAACCATTAGCAACACCACCACACAGCAGAACTCCTCCAGGCTTGTGTTATTTGTGGAGATAAAACATCCATGTTGCAAGTCAGTGGTAGAGTTGAGTTGCTGTTATCCTATCTGGCAAGATATCCAAATATCAGGAAATAAGACTTCATAACATGCCGCGTTGTGCCACTCTGCTCTAGCAGACTTGTCTGTGCTGATCAAATCGCTTCTGGGCTTTTTTTGCCCCGAGTACGGTTTGCAAGGGACTCATTCCTACCAAAGACCACTGAAAATTCATTCATTAAACAAGTTTCTGTGCTAAGTGATTATCAAGATCTTTATCTGTACCGTGAGCAGAACCCCCTGCAGGTCAGTGCAGAAGGATGTATTATCCAAAACGGTAAGCCCAACACACGTTTTAGTGTTCCATTTAGATGGTTTGTTCATACTTACCTTTGTTCTGTGTTTCTATTGAACATTCTGAGTGGCAACCTCCAAGAGGAAACCCTGTTATAGTTCTGTGTTTTTAAATCAGAATAATTTATTTCACTCCGATTGAACCAGGGGCGCTTTGGTGCCGTACCAGCAAAATTCAAGAGATGACCTGATTTTTAATGCTCAGTGGGATGCTGCCTTTAGAAAAAAATGTCAGCTGAATCTGAAAGACATATTTGTTGTTTATGCTTTTAAACATAAAAGCACTTGATTTATTATGTATGGATGTAAAAATAGGATTCAATTGTCAATTTAGGTTTTGCATCTTTTATTTTCCTATTTGTTCTGAATATGTATTAAGATATTAATCCTATTTCCCACACATATAAGCTTTATTGATTCACTGTATGCTACAGATCAGAGTGTTACACTGTCAGAAGCTGAGATTTTCGTGGCCCAGCTAAACTGCTTAGTGATAAAAAAAACTAATATGCAGCTTATTGTGACTCAGAGCTCATCATGTTGCACTAGTGTTTTCCCCAGGTCATTTATGTGTACATTAACAAGGTTCAGATTTGCTGTTTTAATTACATTTTCAGTCTTGCTCCCTGTGGGCATTCATAATTATCTACAATTATTGGTCTCCGGAACACCGATCAATCAATAAATACACATTTTCAGATGAAAATCTAAACAAAAAATACAAATCAGTCAGATTTTAGTAGTAGTAGTGAGGGAGTGTGCTTTCAGAATGCTGTTGATCTTTTTGACTGTGCATGCTGTCTTCCTGGGTGCCTTTGAGCAAAATAAAAACCTGCATTTATTCCAGTGCAATGGTTGTGCAGCAGATTGTAAGCTCTGACACTTCATTATTTCTCCAAATACAAAGTGGCCTTTGGAACATGCATATCAACAACACTGGGCTTATTGTCTTGTTCTCACCACTGCGCTTCATCAGCTTACCTCATTGTGTGCCTGACAGAGCGTTGTGCACAATGGCCCATTGTTTGCTTTATGCAGCATGTTTCTATTTGAGCCACTTGAGGTCAGCACAACCTACATTACAAGTCTCACAGCTAGAGACCGTCACTCTTGCAATGTTCATGAATTACAGGGCTCCTGGCCTACTTGAATGGGCAGTGTTGGGCTTGAAGTGAAATGAGGGAAATTATTTAAAAATACATTATAAATTAGGAACATACAGGATGTAATGGTTATGTCTTGTTCAAAAAATAATGGTAAAGCTAATACTTTATTGTGATTTTTCTGAACCATGCATAAGAGGTAGCTTTGCAGAAAAAGCCCAAGTTGAAAATATAAGCATAATTCAGTGTGTTTGCATGAAGTTGCAGCAACAAGTTACTATGTGGACATCTCAGGAGGTGAATGCAAACATGCCAGTGTTTAAACAGGAAACAGTGCACTAAAGGTACAACCAAGTTTTAGTCATAAACCTTTCAGCTTAATTATGCACATGTGATATAACATAGATGGCAAAATGTATCTCACATTTGACCTAAAAGTAAATATAAGTTGGGAAAAAACTGCTTACATTTAGTTTGTGCATTTTATTTATTTATTTTATCTAAATAAATACAAATTAATAACATCAGGTCATTGAGTGAACGTGCGAACGCCATGCGTTTGAAGCTTTTGCAGGTTTACCTAGGTGCGTTTAAAAACAAACAGGGCGCCTGCCGCAGATCGGCCCCGCTTCCGTACGCTCCGTTTGCGCCATTACGTCTGCTGCGTACAGATCGTTGCCGTGTTGCTGCAAGGCAGGCAGCTGCAGAGAGAGATCAGGGAACGCTGACAACAACGGACAGATTCATGTTCAAGTCAGAAACGCAACATTTCCCCCCTCTCTGATACACGCATTTTCCACGTCTACCCTCATTCCCGTTCCTGTTTTACGTCTTTTCTCACGACCTGAAATGACTGCTGGGCGCCGCGTCTAGCCAATGCTTACTGCGGGGGATCCTGCTCTGTGGATTATCCGTCGTCGCCGAGGCAGTCGCATGGTCGAGCCCGGAGGAGGCCCTTCTCTGCTGGATGGATGTGTGTGAAGCACCGCCGAGCTCCGAGTGCTGATGAAGACGGAGATAACGACGATGATGATGCTCGGCTTTCATCGGCGCTGCGTGAACTGATCTTGGATGTTCGGGCTACGTCGCCCCTACATTTTCTCACACAGCAACACTTAAATTCTTTAAAAACTGGACGCCCCTGGAGCAGTTTATGACGGTAATTCGCAGGCTTTGGTTTATATTTTCTCATTTTAAACGGCCAGCTGGTGTTAGTTAGCTAGCTTAGCCCTGTCACTTTATGTGAGTTGCTCACGCGCAGCTAAAATAGCTAAATAACGCTCAGCGGAGATAACGCCATTCAATGACTGTAGCCTTCTGCGCGGCGTCACCTACACGCTGGCTTTAAATATGGCTTTCCTTTACCACATTTAATACCTGGTTGACGTCGCAGCGTTTAGGTGCAGTTGTTCCCCCATTTCTATCAACCTGTGACCAGTAAGCCCCCAAACAAAGCGGTATATTGATAATTTTGACGTTGGCTGGTAAATAAAGCTCTCTTCCACATCTCTCATGTGCATGTCACATTCTAGAAATGTCACACCAAAAGGGCCTGCGCGGACGAGCTGTGCACAGGGAGGTCATAGCTGGCCCTGCAGTGTTAATAATGCTTTCTTAAAATGTATTCCCGTTAAGCTAACGATTCAAACGGTTTTAATGAATGAGAGTTTGTTTTATTTGGGATGTGAGGCGTCCTCCTTTTTTTCCCTTCGATGACGTAATCCTCCACCATCCGTGCCACATCTTTTTGGTCGCAGTTGGTTCCTCTGCTGCTGAGATCATACGGACCCTGTTCAGCCGCGTTTCTCCAGGCTCGCTGGCCCGTTATTTGGTGTTATGGGTCTTAAAATGACCACAAAGCCATGTTGCAAACTGGTCTGAATGGATCGCCACTGCAGGGTGGGTGGGGGGTTGTGAATGAAGACCAGTGACTTTGTTCAGCGTTCTGCAAATTTAGTGTTTTTAAATCACTAAAGATTGATCTGTTGTGTTTATTTATTTTTTAACTTTGACTTTAAAGTGGTGGTTTCCAGAATTTACAGAAGTGTTCCAACATATCCCATTCAAAGGACTTGTAGGTCACTAAAATGTTTTATTTTGATATTTGCATCTTGTAGATATGCAACATGATAAATGATCTCATATATTATATTTAGTAGAACAGCATCAAATCCACTAGATTAGAAAATTTTCTAGTTTTTAGTGGCTTGCAATCTGCTCTTTGGACACCCCTTCCCTGATGGGATATTATTCGACATTTGATGCGTTGTACACGCGCTTTAATTATCTCCCTGATTTCACTTGTAGCATATTCAACAGCTGACGTCACCATGCAACATGCTGCAGGTTGCAAATGCTAGACAAACTACATTTATCAAGTGAAAAATACACGGACAGAGCGCTTGGACGTCGATAAAACAACCCGACAGACACCATATTCAAAAGTGTATGCTCAAACAGCTACTCATTACTCAGTGCTCAATTAACGTTATCTCTAAGTTATTGCTGTGTCACTACTTTTTACATACCACCCACTAGATGTGGGATCTGTCCATCGATCCAATTATAACAGTCAGTTTATTTATGATAAATAATCAATTGTTCCTGTATTGGTTGGAAATATCTTTCCAAATGTTCTCCTTTATGCTCCCCGTGAAGGCAGAGTCATGTTTTTGGTGTAGCTTTTGCAAAATGGGAAAAATCTCTCCACAGGTCAGACCTTTGTTGCAGGAGTCTGCTAGTGTGGAGGTGTATATATGAAACAAATGACGCTAACACGATAGGCAGTGTTATTTGATTAGTTCCCTGCAGTATTAACAAGAGAGGACGTGCAAATGCTGCTGCTGCTGCTGCATTGAAATTCAGTAGTCTGAAGCGAGTCAAAACATGTCATTAACTTTAAATCGTTGAATATTTTGTGCCCAAATGCTTTTGCATATTATTAGTGTTTCTTCCCCTTGATGACATTTCTACTTTGTGAGTATTGCAAGTTGCCCTGTTATCCTTTCTCATAAATATAACCAAACTTTCAAGCATTTTAGTTGTTTAGGCGCGTAAGCTACGCACATCGTGCGTGGTGACATCATCGCGCCAACTGGAATTGATGGGGGAATCGTTTGCAAAAATGGCGAACGATTCCTAGGAATTGAAACAGGAACTGGTTCTCAACAAATACTGGTTTTCAATTCCCACCCCACCACCCACCTCTGGTCAAAAATGTTTTTCATTCACATTTGGATGCTGTTTGGCCGAGACATTAAGCTGGACCTCTTCGTTTACACACATCTGAGAGTGTTGCTAGTATCTGCTCAATATTCTCAGATGTAGGACCTTTCCCTCTGGCAAAATGTATGGAACAAATATACATGCACTCCTTGATCAGCTCCACACTGAAAATTTGCTCTTTCACCTATATACTTCCCCCGCTTTGCTTTGTCTTTAGCTTGGCTCGTGTCCCTTTCCAGCTGTTTCACGTGGTCACTGACCTTACTCGGCTTTGGATAAAGCCGACAACAGCGGTGCTTATTTCCTTCCTGTTTGAACATCTTTAGGAGATGAGCTGAGCGACTCAGACCAATAGGCACCCATGCAAAATACACACTTGCTTATCTAGGGCTACATCCTACCTATCCGACCTATTCCTGCTGGATCTGACCCCTAAATTCCCATTCTACATTTTACTACTGGTGATGTTTACATTTTTAAATAACTGCAGTACTACCTTGACGTTTAAGAGATTGGAGCTGCTTTCAAACAGAAGTAGTGCTTTTTTGTCTTGGTTGTGCTCAGACTACCCCATAGCTCATCATTCCTGTGGGATTTAAATATTTCTCCAAGCTGAGGCTGGTCAAGGATGTAATGTGTATGATATCTGTTTTCTTATAACCCCTACACATAAACACATTTCAAAATGGCCAAAATATTCTCATAAAACATTTTAGAAGAGGCACAGTTTCGACATAAACTTAACCGTTGCTCCACAAATACACTTCCCAGCCCAAAAAGGGTCACCACCCAGATTTAATGAAGTATTCGAGCCTCCCTTTGGTTTCGGCTGGCATCAAGTCATTTAACCCAAACTGATGCTCATCCTATAAAGTGACAGTAAGACACATGTGGCGGTGGAAAAGTCGTTTTATTTCAGACGGGTCAAACTGTTGGTGAATTAAGGGGATTGCTTTAATGACTGAAGTTGGGTTAAGATGTTTTCATTTATTCTGGGAAGAAAACAAGCTTTATGCTCTAGATGTAAAATGAGTATTTAACGAAACATTTGGTGATGCAGTGTTTAATATTAAAATAAACTCATTGAATTGTAGCAGCAAAAATATAATGGTCACCCCACCCAGTGATTCAGGGCTGTTTCTGAGAAATGAGTGAAAAAGTAGTTTCAAATTGTGAAAAAAGCCAAGCTTGAACATCAAATGCATTTATTTTTGCTTTGCTCAAAGTGAATGGACTCAGCTGGTGGTGATTATACTGCTAATAGCAAATGGTGTTCTTTACTTGAGCAGCACACCTGAACCTGTCAGAAGGAGCAGGGTGGAGAGGATGTGAGTAAGAAACATGAACTGAGGCCAGAACGGACTCAGGTGTGGCCTGCGTGATTTGGCTAAACTGCACTTGCAAAGAGAGGGGAGAAAGGGGGTTCCTGTGGGAGGAAGATGCAGGATAATGTCACCAAATCCCAGTTTAGCAATCTTAAATTAATCTGAGACAATGGACTGGTTCATTTTTAATGTAGTTTATATTTGCATGTGTAATCCTGGCAGTGTTTAATCAAGCATTCTTAGAAGTTAGTGAGCATTTGTCTTTGCTTGAATATAAAAAAAATGGTTTAAATCTTTAATATAAAGTCTTATTTTTTGTGGAAAAAAAGCCCTAAAATAACCCAGGCTTTCTGCTGGTTGCATAAGTGGCGCCTGATGTGAGATGCGTTTCATCCACGAGCTCCCTTCCCACCAGGGGCGTTTCAGATGTGTAACAGCAGCCAAAGCTTTCCATGCAGCTGGTCCCACAAAATCCCCCCCCCCCCCCCAAAAGAATTGCAAGACCGTGTGTAACTCTGGCAGTTCACGCGATAGCAAGCAAGGAGAAAGATGGTAGCATTGATCCAGAAAGGCCTGTTTTATTTTCTGTTCTAAGGAATTTTTACACAGGTAGTAACATTAGAGATGTCCCGTTCCGACATCGATATCGGAAGTAATTTGATATTGGCCCAAAAACCGTGTATCGGATTATATCGGATGGCATAAAAAATAATAATTAAATAAAATAAAAAATTCCTCACTACGAAATAGGTAAAAGTACGAATGCTTTGTGCTGATATCATATCAGATTGATATCGGTATCGGTCATTACTGAAGGCTGCAATATTGGTATCGTATCGAAAGTGAAAATCGTTGTATCGGGAAGATCTCTAAGTAACACCAGAAGGTTCCCAAGCACGACCATGTTTGCTGATCACTGCTTCCCCTGGGGATGGATCACATGTGGAGGAATAATTTCACCAGTGTCACAACTAACAGGACTTTAATTTTAACATATTTTTTTGTTAAGCAGCAGGAAATCGGCACGTGACTTATTTTAAAAGTTCCTGAATGTTTTACATTGCTTCCTTGTTTGACTTCCTGTCTTGCCCGATCGGAACAGCTGAGCTTGACTCGATCTAGAAGTGTAGCAGTTAAAAAATAGTCTCAGAAGCGTAAGCAAAGTGACCCTACCCTTCCGCGATGTTTCCAAAACGCAGAGCTTCACGGCTGATGAAAGGCATCTATCCACCACTATAACAGCGGCTAGGTGTTGTGTACAATCTTTCACAGACGTTACGCCACACTTGCGCATCTGGTGGAGAGACCCGTTAATGCCTGTTTAAAGAAATCGTGATCTAGTTTTTCCAAAAACTTATGTACATATGACTAATTATTGCTTTTTCCCTATAATACATTTATGCTAGAAATAGCAGGAAGGCTAGAGCACTCAAGTGAGAAAAAATTTATTAGGTGCGAGCACAAACAATTAACGTTTCGACACTTCTTGAAGGGAAGAAGGGTCGAAACATTAGTATTTTTTTGTGCTCGCACCTATTAAATTTTTTTCTCACTTGAGTGCTCCAGGCTTTCTACTATTTTTATTCTGATTGTTCACTGGTGGTCGAGC